AAGAGGAAAAAGACTGATTGCTCTAACACAAGTTTATCTCAGTCTTCATTTGGCATATTAGTCTGCATATTCCTTTGTTTTGAAACTGGTCATTTCAATGATAGTTCAGCTTTGTTGGCATGTCTGATGTCTCAGGTACTTGACACTGGAAGGTTTTAATGCCTGCAGGGATAATGCTATAAAAGGAGGAATAATATATGATCTAACTCAGAGATTTTTATTACACAAGAGCAAATTAAATAGGAAGAAATCTCATGTATCAACAATACTACCAACAGCCTGGAAAAAACAAAACACCAGGTCTCTAACCATCTCCAAAATCTTTTACTTTCAACTTCCTTGCATGTCACTTTTAAAACTAGCAGTGAAAAACAGGGGTGTGCAAAATACCTCAGCTGAAATTCCCTCTTCTACACAACTCATCAAGTTAATAACAGCTGGCCAACTGTGATAGATCCATTGCTGCTTTCTGGCCTTGTTTTAACTTTCATTAAAAGCAATACCAAAGATATTAAATAATACTATCAAACACTATCAAACAACAGCAGCAGTTGTTGTAGTATCACGACATTGTCGGTTGTATCCAGTGATGGGCTTCTCTTAGTACAGTGGCTCTAAGCCTTTGGCCTCCCAGACATGGTGGACTTCAACTCCCAGAATTCCCAGCCAATCTGGCCAGTGATCAGAGACTTTAATTTCAAAATCTAGAGGGCAAAATGTCTTAGTGGCAAATGCTTCTGGCCCTGCAAGACAGGACGAACATTTTTTGTCAATCCCTCTTTTTACCCATTCTGCTGTAACATATCTCATTCTGTTCTGAAGGACTCCTTCATCCATAAGAGGAACATTTCAGGAAAGGCAGGAGGCTTATCAGAAAGTACTGTATGCTTCAAATTACCTAGAGTTGTTTCAAATTAAGGCAAAACTACCACTGGATGCAACCTTATAGGCTGTTCTATTTATAGTGACCAAAAATGATGGTGATGAAAATTCTGTTGCTGAGAAGATTTGCTTTTATTTCTAGTTATGCTAGACAGAATGCAAGCAGCCACGGTAAAACAACATGTGTCTAAACACAAGCTAGGGATATATATAGTCAATAGAATGTTAGTACCTTTTTAATAGGGAGTTTGTTTCCTCATGAGCAATGGTGGAAGTAAAACTTTATGACTGACTTACAAATTGCTGTTCCTCTAGTTAGCTGTCAAAGGTATGATGGCCCAACAAGGAAGATTATGCAAAGGGAAAGACAATTGGGACTCTCCCCAAGCAATAGTAATGCAACATACAATTGACACCTGGGCTGCGTGGGCAGTTAGGCTAACAAACACAAGAAATAGTAACTCCACTGGCTTGTTTGCTAGGCCAAAGTTTCAGATGGGTTGTTCAATGAAGTATGAAGCTACACTTGCCATTCAGATTTATGAATGAATTTACATGGAAATAATACCACAGCATTTGAATATTTGAAATCACCATTATCATTCTGGTGAGCATTTTCCTCCAAGTCACTTCAGAAAAGGTATGCTTAACGACAAGGCCCTCGCTGTGCAATTGCACTGTCCTCTCTCACAGATTTTTATAGAAGACCCAGATGCTGCTGCCTTCTGCTAGTGCCTCTCTGGTGCGTTGCCACTGCTTCTTCTGTCTTTTTTTCTCCCTTACCAAAAACAAAAAAGGTTACAGGAAAAGAGGCAGAGATTCCCCCCATTTTAAAGCAACTCTGCTCTGTTTTTTCTAAGTGGAAACCTACTTGGCATGCCAGATAGTAAAGTCAACCAGGATGTGCCAAAGCATGAGAAAGATTTTGTACATGGCAAACAGCACTACACATAAGGGGAGCACTCAACTTACAATGTCTTACTTTGCAACCACATTCAAAGGTAGGCTACTCAATTGCTGAACAACTCTGATTGTCAATAAGTTCTTTCTAATGTGTAAATTAGATCTTGTTTCTCATGATTTGAATCCATCACTTCAGGTCCTACCCTCCCGAGCTACAGGGGACAAACTTTCTCAATCTTCTATGTGATAGTCCTTCAAATATTTGAAGATGTCTATCACACAGCATCTCAATCTTTTCTTCTCCAGGCTCATGTTCCTTATAGGGCTTCGTTTCCAGACCTTTGGCACCCTGTCTGCCCTCTTCTGGACCTTTTCCTGCTTGTTGATAGCCTTCTTAGACTGTACTCCACAGGACTGGATACTGTATATCAGATCAAAGTCGAATAGTATGGTATATTATTTCCCTTCATTTGGACTAAAGATTAATATATACTCAGCAAGTTTCTCTATTCCAGGTAATCTTTTTTCTATTTTGTGTGACAGAGAACCCCTCCAGGACCTCCATGAAGACTGAGGTGTTTCCCAAAGCAACAGCAAGGAGAAATGCTGAATGTTGTTTTTAGCCCCCTTTTTGCTGATTTTCTAGTTTTACAATCCTGCACTGCTTATGCCTGAAATAAAGCCCAGAAAGGGTGGATAGTGGCTGAGGTTGCCCATTGAAGAGGGGAGAAGCCTTTACTTTAGAAGTCAAAAGGCTGTCCTCCTGGTCTTATTTCTGGTCCAGGTCCTCAAGAATGAGCCTTTTTAATGAAAAATAAAAACACAGAAGAGTCTCTTCTACTTTTTTTCATTTTTGTGTTCATATGTTCATTTCTGAAATACAGTCTCTAAAACGCAAATGATTTGGTTTAATGAATGAAGAGTATACAAACATTTCACTTTCTTTCATGTTTCCTTTCTTTAATAATTTTTATTTTACTATTTGCCTGTCAAATTGCCTAGGAAATTTTTCATCCAGTAGCGTAACAAGAGCTGCTGTCCAGGAATGGAACACCAGGAATTCTGAATCTGCAAAAGGATTTGATCTTACAACTGCTGGTCTTCTAATCACAGAGGCTTCTGCGGTTTAACCCACAGTGCCACCACGTCCCGAAGAGACCATAGCTAAGCACAAAAACATGCGAGTTATCAGCACCTCACTGTTCCCACTGTTTCCTCATCATCTTCTCTGGAAATGGCTCTGAATGTTTTAATCCCTACCTTTCTTTCTTTTTATTTTTGCATCAGTTAAGGTTACTTTCTTTCTTTTTAGCCTCTTCATTTGCTTTCACTTTCGGTGTGTTCCATTCCAAGGTTCCTCAGGGGTTTTAGCCTTCAGGGTTCCCTTTCAAAAATGTTCTCACTGTGAGAGTACAGTTGCCCACCTCAAAACAGGAATTCTCCATCCCTGTTTACTTGTGCCTAACAAAGAGCACAAGTAGACAGCTGAATATTTTGCCAAGCCTTCACTGAATTTATTATTGTTATATGGGGCCAAATTGCTTCTGGCTCATGGTGACCCTATGAGTTCATGACCTCTGAAAGGCCCTATCACTAACAGCCCTGTTCAGTTCCTGCAAATTACAGGCCACAGCTTTCTTCACTCGGTCAGTCCATTTCATGTTTGAACTTCCTCACTTCTTCCCAACTTCTGCTTCACAGTCTTTTTTTTGCCTCCTCCAGTGAGTCCTCTCATTCTGCCTGCTAGGTACAATAGCTTCAGTTTAATCACTTCAGTGTCTAGTGAGAGTTCAGGCTTCATTTCAACTAGAATTCATTTATTTGACTTCCTGGTAATCAACGGCATATTTTGACACCATATTTTGAGAACATTAGTATTTTTCCCCTTTTCATATTTCTTCTCACCGAAAAACATCACTTCCTATAGCCTATTGGCTTTGTGCGCTTGGAGCTATAGATGATGAGGCAAAGACTCAAACACCACCACATCAACCTACTATCTGCCCTTCAAGATCCTTAGACTTCAGCTGGGATCAGTGGCTGACACTTCACCAGTGGACAGTTCCATGCTTCTTGTTCACGAGCAGTTCACCTATGGTTGCTGCCCCATTGCTCATACTCAGCATTAGATGCACCAGGAGACTGCTTGGGACAACCATTAAACATGATGTCCACATTACTGACTTCAGCAGATCTGATCTGGGCACAGACTTATGGGGTCATAGCACTGTAGAGCTAGAAGAGACCCAACCAGTCATTGAGTCCAGCCCCTATCCAGGGCAGGATATCCACAATGAAATGTCTTTCCAAAAACTGGAGGAGGAAATCTAAAAAGGCTAGATTTTCTTTAGACCATTCCTTAGGTATTGTCAGCACTACCCATATGGGCAGTGTGATTGCTGCCCCTCTTGTACCTGTTCTCATTTCATCATGTCATTACAACAATAACAGAATCCCAAAATCCTCTGCCATATGAAGAAAAAAAGAAAGGAACTAAATCTCCATATTTATTTTCTCTGCACGATGATCATACAGAGGTCTTACTAAGAACATTTACAGTTGCATATGGCCATAGTTATACATGCTCTCATTTTTGCCTTTTGTCCGAACTGAGGCAGCTGTGTCGTGATGCAAGACCTGCCAGGGTTATTTCCCCTTGGGAAACACATTGCCTTGTGCTCCTTTTGTCCCCTGTGCTTTCCCTCCATCCTCTGCACTTATTTCTGCTCTGCTGCTGCTTCCTGTGCATCTCTCTCTCTCTCTCTTTCTGATATTCTCCCTCCCCCCTTCTCTCCGCTGCTGCTGCTGAACTGCATCTCCCTCTGGAACTTGCACAGTTAAACCACCTCTCATCCCGAAGAGCGGTGAATCACTCCATCACCTGAAGAAGAGCAAACGGGGAATCCACGCTCCACTAGCCTGCTTTGCTTAGGGATTTATCGGGAAAGAATACAGCGTTGGACAGAGGAGAGAACCTTTCCTGCACCCATCTGAGGTTTCCCAACCACCTCTTGTATTCCTAACAAGCTTCATTGATGTGTGTAGGGAATGTTTTCTTTAAAATATAACTGAAAAGAGAGAAGCAGGCACCGGGCAGCAACAGCTGCTGCTGCGGCGGATGGCAGCAGTAGCAGCCAGTGCAGCAAAATGAATATGTGACGGCTAAGTGCTCTCCACACTTTCCCTGTCTTCATTAGCTGTCTCTGGAAGGGACGTTGAGCTAGACAGGTGCACCACTAACTGAAGCAGGTCCTGCACTGGATTTATTACTGCTTTCTGCCTCCCTCGAGGAAAATGGTCAACAAAGACATGAATGGATTTCCAGTCAAGAAGTGTTCTGCTTTCCAGTTTTTTAAAAAAAGGGTAAGCTTGCTCTGAGCACATTATTGTTGTTGATTACTTATTGATCGTGTGTGTATGTGTGCGTGTGTGTGTGTGTGTGTGCGCATACATAAGAGCAAACTAACAGCGTGGACAGCATTTAACAATGTGGTTATTTTAAAAAGCAGGATTGCAACTGTACCGATTTTAAATAGAAGCAAATGTTGGGGTTACAGTACAGTATTACATAAGCATTGTTTGACTGTGCTCATGAAACTTATAGTTACACTGAAGATTTTTATTTCAGGGGCAGAAAACAGCATTACCCAGAGAAAGGTGTCTGAGCATGTGTAGTAGCAGAGCAAACACTGTGATGAAATATATAGATAGAGAGTTTGGGGGTTCTGATTAGCCGTGACAGCTAAACAGAACTTCCATCTTCAGTAGCAGTGTACCCCTTAATTGTATATGGAATTAGTCTAACAGAGGAGAGTTGATGTCTTTATGCCTTGCCTGGGGTCTTTCCAGAAGCATCAGTCTGACAAAGTGCTGAATATACCTTTGCTTTAACTGAGTCTGATTTTTAATATTCAGTTGTTATCTGTTTATCTATCAAATCTTGTTGACAAATTTGTCTACTTTTCCTCTATTTCCTGTTTTCCCATTGGAGTGGGGTTATGCAGTGACCTACTTCAGTTCTTCCTTCTGTAAGATGGGAACTGGGATAGCCTTACATCTGGGGTCAATATAAAGACAACAAAGAACAAATATTTTTAAACCTGCAAGAGTAATATAACACAGAATGTTCTTGTAACAACACCAAGTGATTACAGGCAGCATTGCTGTTCTCCAAACGATCCTCTCCTTTAGTCTGTGTATCTTCCCTTCCACCTGTCTGCCTGACCAGTTCTCAGCCTATCCATTCACACCTAATAAAGTGCTGCATTATACTCTCTCCATTCATTTTCTTATGCTGAGCTATTTGCAGGATTAGCAAAACTGTGGCACAGCCTCTGTTCTACCCAGTAACGGCAGCCTCTGTCCAATAGCAGTGCCAGCTGCTGAGGCAGAAAAGAATCAGAGAAACAGACCTTTGCTTCTTAAGGCAATGGCAGAATCCCTTGATTTACTGAAACCCCCAGGTCCTCCTTCACTCATCTGCTCTGATTTCAGTGTGTTGGAATAATTTCGGTTAGTTGTTGATGAGAAAGAAGGCAGTGTGATGTGATGCTCGGCTGATTATACCTTCATGGAAATTTGCCTGCGGGTACGCAGTTGCTTTCCTATAGTTCTGTATTAGAACTTTAACAACAGTCATGGTCATTCAAGGACCTTGTGATTATAGTGAATTTTGGTAATAGACCTGTAATATTTTCCCTTTCTTGTAGGGCCATAAGGGGTGTACAACAAATGAGAGAAACAGATGTTTTCATCCAGGGCCAACAGAGCAGCTTCTACCTAAAAGCTTTGCTATAAGGAATTTCTCTCATTTTTCCTTTCTTGCTGATTTGGAGTGGAGATTTCATTTAATGAATAGCCCTCAGATCGGGCAGTCTGTTCTGTCACTTCATTCATCCATTCTCATTCACCTTCTGTCTGCCGTATAAAGAGAAGACTGTCTCTTCATTCAACCGAGCAGCCATCAAATGCAGAAAACCTCCATTCAGACATCAGCACTCAGCTCCTCTTAATTCCCGTGGCGTGAATTAGGGCTGCACAATATGCCACTAACTATAACAGTCTCAATGCATCAAACAGAGAACTAGAAGTTTCCTATAATAGAGGGATCGAAATAGCTTTTCTTCCTCTCATAACCTGTTGTATATTAATTCTGCAATCTTAAACACATTTACAGTGCAATCCTGAGCATGTCTGTCTAGAAGTAAGCCCAGCTGATTGTGGGACTGGCAGCTTTGTACACATACCCCTCTCGGTACGTCCAACTGAACTGAATGATGCTTCCTTTTGGGCCATAGTGTTTACCCTCAGCTGAGATTAGGATTGTAGGACTGGCAGGTTTGTACACATACCCGTCTCGGTACATCCAACTGAACTGAATGATGCTTCCTTTTGAGTAAACATACACTGGGTTGCACATTTTGGAGCTGGATGGCACATTTTGTAAGAGTTTTAGGTTGAATAGTATTGCCTTGCATGTGATGCAAAGACTAATGCAATTAGTGATGTTTTTGGTTTCATTGGTTCCACTTCCAGTGAGCTTTCACTGCTGGGCAGGTATTCAAACTCAGGCCTTCTTGTTCATTGTTCTATTCACTGCTACCTTGGGTATCCACAAATAGTGATTAATCATCATCATCTTAGAACTACAGAGCTGGAAGGGACACCATGGACCACTGAGTCAAGCCCTTGTCAAGGAGGCACAGTGGGCTGAGTCAAGCCCTTGTCAAGGGGGCACAGGGGGGAATCGAACTCCCAGCCTCTGGCTCTGCAGCCAGTTTCCTAAACCACTGAGCTATCCAACAGTTACCCAGCTTCCATGCCCAGTATGGTGTTAAGGACATGGAATTCTGTGTTTTGAAAAAATCAGATTGTTGTCTTATGTGGGCTGCCTTTCCAAAATAATTAATAAGTATAATTGCATGCTATCAAGTCAATTCTGACTTACAGTGACCATTTCCAGAACTTTCTAGGTAGAGAATACTCATTGCCTTCCTCTGGGGGGTACCATGGGACTGTGCAGCTTGCCCAAACCTACACAGGTTGGCTCTACTTGAAGGAGGCACAAACGGGAATCAAACAATCTCTGCAGCCAGATACCTTATTCACCGAGTGATCCAGCCAGCTCTTGTTTTAAATGCATTGATTTTTTCAATATAATCTTGAATACATCAAGAGAGGGTCTTTGAACCAGAGAAAATTTACTTTGTGGACTTGCAATCTAGGCAGGGGATTCTGAGAGTTGTAGTCCAAATAGTTGGCTTTTCTACATTTTCTTTTGAAATTTGCATTGAATATCATCACATGCCATTAGAATCACTTTATCTTCCCCAGTGAGATCTGTGATGGTACCTTTAGCTATCAGCAAGGTCTCAAAATGAGATGGTGTTTGTATTGTAGGTTTAACTGCTTCCTAACGTACATCATCCATTTCCCTGTATTAATATAATGTTCCATATGGAAAGCTTGCAGAAAGACAGTCTTGTGTTTACATTTTCAATTTAAATTGTATTCCATTTGTAGAGAATTATGCCATTAACACAGTCACCTGAATGCATTCATAGCTGCAGTCCATCTCAAATTATGCAGACAGAATATTCCCTTCTGATGATATTTGTCCTGTAATTTACTGGTGGACAAGTAGTGTGTGTGTGTGTGTGTGTTCACTATATATATATTCACTACATATGTATATTCACACACACACACACACACACAATATATTCACTGCATATATATATTCACACACACACACACAAAGAGAGAGAGAGAGAGAGACCATTGATAGCTCATGGTGTGAACAGCGACAAACACTCTACTCCAAACAAGCAGAATAAGGGGTCCTCCACTTACCCCAAACAAGCAGAATAAGGGGTCCTCCACTTTCCTGCTCAGGCCATGACTTGCACTGGAGATTTAAATTGAATTATTTAAATACTGCACTCCCAACTACACCAGAGCACAGAGTGCTGTCCTCTGAAGATGCCGGCTCACAGAGACTGGCGAAACGTTAGGAAGAACAACCTTCAGAACACAGCCAAAGAGCCCGAAAAACCCACAACAACCATTAGATCCTGGCCATGAAAGCCTTCGAGAATTCAGTGAGAAAACTCTGGCTGAGAAAGAGAAACTCTGCAGCTGTTCCCCAGATCGAGAATTCAGTGAGAAAACTCTGGCTCAGAAAGAGAAACTCTGCAGCTGTTCCCCAGGGCCTTCTGTATAATTGTAAGGTAGTATAAACCAGTTTAAATTCCAAGTTTGATTACATTTACAGTATATTTCACCTTACAGTATTTCCAACCACTAGTGCATTTTTTAAGTTTCAAAATTTTTTTAACTGAATTACCCTACTAATACCCATAAAGTTAGTTTACCAGGTCAATTTGTTTCCAAATAAATGCATTTTTCTATTTCTAATCAAAGACACAGGCGTTCGGTGGAATCCTACATTTATTTATTATTTCAGTGTATTTAGGCAGACATACTGGCCAAAGTTCTCTTAACTTTGGGAAAGCAAATTACTCCAAATTATGAAATCACCATAGACATTATGAGTTGCACGGTGACTAATACAACACAGTATGAAACAGATAATGTCTATGTAGATTTCTTAATATAACTTGATCCCAAAAGTTATGCCATTTGAATTACACCAGCATAACTAGGCAAAAGGATTTGGGCCACTATGTTGTTGTAATGTAGGCTATATATATGAATTATTCTGACACTCTCTGGCTTTGCCTGTGGACTTCCTATTCTGCACTGGTCAAACATTACAGCACCTGCTTTAATTATGTTGGCTATATGTAACCTCATATGATTAAGTCCACCCCTTTGCAATTTGTTGTTGTTTAGTTGTTTACTCGTGTCCGACTCTTCGTGACCCCATGGACCACAGCACACCAGGCCCTTCTGTCTTCCACTGTCTCCTGGAGTTTGGTCAAATTCACGTTGGTAGCTTCAATGACACTGTCCAACCATCTCATCCTCTGTTGTCCCCTTCTCCTCTTGCCTTCACACTTTCCCAACATCAGGACCTTTGCAATTTACTTTTATTTAAATCCAGTGTTTATACATTCTTCTTTGTCCTTTTTACTTCTGAAGTTTCCATTGTAGCAAACTGAATTCACAATACATAGTTGTCTGAATGCAGAAAAATTGGAAACGGAAACTTCCTTCAGAAAAGCTGGTTGGATTTTTCTTTACAGAAGGGAAATAAATATATGCTTGTTCTTGTCTCTGAAAATCAGATTTAGAGGAGCACAAAAGCAATCACACACAATTCATAATTTATGTGCACACTGGAGCAATAACCTGGAATGCATTCTGTACATGTTCTTGCACTCTGATATTCAACGCTTTTT